GTATGTTTTAACACTGTCGCCTTGTGGGACCTTAGCAACAATATCCAAGGGGCGGGGCTTAGCGGAAAGGTCTATTGAAATGGATCTAGACTAATTGCTGTTAATGTTCTAGTCACGATTTAAAAAAATATCACTATGATCATATCATTATTAAAATATTGTTTTAACTCTGGGTAAAACAAGACATTATTTGCAGTACAAACTATATAGCATTAGTGAATATGATCTTGACCAGATAACATTTTGAAACACATAAAAAAAAGGAAAACTTACACCAAAGAACTTAAATAGCAGAAGAATGAGATGCTCTGCGTATGGTATTAAAATTGATGGAACATACGCCCTGCCGCGAATAAGGTAAAATTTGAACATTTTACTAAGTGGAGAAACTACAGGGAAAAAAACAAAAAACGAACCAGAGCGGCGCCTTTATTATTGCTATATAGCGCCACCGCGCAGACGGAGTAAAATTGCTGTTCCGTGTACCCACAATGCCTTTCGAACGGATGTTCCACTGTATTCAGAAGCTGCTCTATCTTCTGCTATTTATTATCTTTGCTTACACCAAATGGAATGTGATAATGATGATAAACAGAAACCAACCTCTATCTAAATGCTAAGTTTAAATAGAGGTTAGGTGAAGCAGGATGAAGAAATAGGACAGGATTTTATTTAATGATTTTTATTTTTTCAAAAAGAAAAATGGAATCTCATGCAGATGGAAACGCAACAGCACACAGTTAACAAATTAATTTAATTGAAAGAAAAAAAAAAACAACCTCCAAATGACATTTTCCTTCAAAAACTATTAATTAACTTAGCTACTGATGCTATTGGGGGCATATTAGCATAAACAACAGTAAAATAATAACTGACCCTGCGATGGGTAGGATCGTCTGCAATTCCTAAAACAATGAATGTATACCACCCGAATAATACATACTAAATTAGATAAATAACCGTCAACAGGAAACGTTAACTTCACACTGTATGTTACATTATTATAAATTATATATTTCATTATACAAGAAGATTGTATCTATTCAGCCACAAGCTTCCGAATCACCCACGTCCTCCGGTACAGATGTGATGATGTCTTTCACAATGGTCAACTCCTTAGCAACATCTTTATTTTGAGTGTCAAGTTCACGGGTGTACTGAATCTCGGATACCTTATTAATAGTCAAGCTCGACAACTTACCAGTCAATCTACACATAAACAAACGAAAACCGCAGTAATAAAAACTAATTAATAGGCCTAAGTATATTTTGTATAATTTTATTACTATAATAATAATAATAATAATAATAATAATAATAATAATAATAATAATAATAATAATAATAATAACAATATTAATAATAATTTTTTATCTAATTAATATTAATTATTAGTATCATCAATATCATTAATAGTATGAATGTTTTTTTCATAGTTTTTAAATATTATCATTATACTATTATTACTATTACTGTTTCTATTGCTACCTTTACCATTACCATTGCCACCGTATTACTATTACAATTAGTAATACTGATGAAGTCCACTGTGTGGACGAAATCTAGAGAATAAATTCTATATTGTTAGTCTCAAAAGTGCTGCTGTCATTTACTTTATATTGTTCTATAACAGCCACTTTTTATTTATTATTAGGATAATTGTATCATTTTTTTGTGAACCTTACTTTGCTTTAACTGTTTGCAATTCCAAAATCAATTTTTCTTGTGACGATTTGTAATTTTCATTGTCTTCTTTGCAGCAAGCTAATAGATCTGTGAGTCTCATTATCCTGCAAAAACAATAGAAATAAGAATGAGCAGGTTAATCATGGTGAAGTTCACGTAACATATAGGCCTACGTCGGTAACTCTCCTCCTAAAGCCGGGCACTCACTGCGCCCCACGGTGTCGGCCGACGCGATTCTATTGATGGGGGACGACGCGCCGCGACGCGCAACTGATCGTTTTAATGACGATCCGTTCAGACTACACCACCGACATCACCAAACGGCGTCTCGGAGCGGAGTAGGATTTGTCGGCCAACGACCGTACGATGCAGTGAGTGCCGGGTAAAATGTAGGGCCTACTTTTTAGTTAAACGAAATAATTATTCTCATATCCATCATGGAAATTTCAATCAATCGTAACAACTGACAAATTAGGACGTAATATTCAACAGAGCCGCAGGATTTTTATTTGGGGTACGAATTGTGGAAAGTGGACCCAAATGAGGTGGGGGGGGGGGGGCGCTAAGGACATAGACCTTTTGGGGTCGAGTGGCGGACGTTCTTGATATTTTTAGGTCTTCATAGATTTTGAAGAAATGAGGGGTGAGTGGGGCAGGAAGGGACCTTCAGAGATGGAGGGTCGATATTTCTTCAGTCCCACCATGGTTGGGGAAAATTTTTAATTATACCACCCCAAGGCAGCCGCAAATGCCACCTTTAGACTAACTTGAATATAATTTTCTCTTTTCCCATTTAGGGATTAATGGAAATTGCGATTATGAACAAACAATACAAGCGCTTTTCGTCGTGGATGAGATGGGTAGACGTAAAAAATATATAAAATCGAGAATTCATAAAATAAGCCTATACTGATCTGTGGGAACAGGGTAGGAAAAGAAATACATCCCTTTGTTGTTATTTTGAAGCGAATACGTCCACCATTCTACCGGGCCAGGGAGGGACTTTAACATAGGGGGCCGTGGCGGATTTAGGAATTAGAGATAGAGAAGGATGGCACCTATGCCCGGAAATGGAGTTCTCAGACTTAAATTTGATTATAAGTTACTGTATGTTTTGTTTTTCACAAATGGAGGCCAGAGTTGACTCGGCCCACTTGAATCCACCACTGCAGGTCTATAACACCTAAGCCCCACCATAGGGCTGAGGTAAGAAAATTCATGATTATGGCATCTCTAAATGGCCGGAAATGGGACTCGCAGACCAAAAAGAGAATAAAGATAATTCTAGTGAATAGAAAGAGAGAAAATGAGTTTTGTACGTGGCGCGTTACTGACGCAAGCGGCGGGGAAAACACTCAAATTCCTCAAAAAGCTTATACATACCCCCCCCCCCCCTCCAGTGTACGGGCCTGAACCTAAAATACACTGTTCCAATAATACACTTTTACGAGGATCCCACGTTTTTAGCAACAAAATCTAAGGGGCAAATAATATCGGAAATCTCTGAATAATGAAAAACCTCAAAATTGAATAAAATATTGCGTCAAACATGGTGATACTCACTCGGGAGAGGCGTCATTGCATATTTTGTGTAATCTATTTACTTTGTTTACAAGATCGATGTTTTCATTTCTAAGTTCCTCCTGTGTCTTGCAAAAGCTTTCAATCATATTTGAATTTTCCTTTCCTAATTCTTCCTTCTTAACTTGAAGGACATTCAATTGGGTTTCGAGTACTTGAATTCTTAAAAAAATAAAATAAAACAAAACAAATCAAAACCAATAAAAGCAAACATTATTATGAGATTATGAGTAAATAAGTAAAAAGAGATAATAAATTACAATAAGCTTTATGTATTTAGTGAGGGCGCAGCATTAAATTTTAACAAACTACAAAAATATTGCACTTTACTGTATATCTCTTAAATCAACTTTCGTTCAACTTCCGTTTTGTTTACAAATCATTATCTTATTCACAATTGAATAGATATAGTCCATAAGTGTTTACGTTTTATCGGCACAGCAACCGACTGGCCTTGCCAGCCCTCTATTATTTCTCCAAAACGTAAAAGTAACAAGTAATTACGGGTATATATTTTTATGTTTAAATTCTATGTTACCATGTAATCTTGTATTTTTTTTGTAATTTCTAATTTGATTTTCCTGTTCGTCTTTCTAAATAAATTTTAAATGTAAATTTCTTTCGTGCGATTGTCTGCAAGAATGATATTTTTTAGGACCATTATGTGTTTCTAAAAATCCTGATATAAACTCCCTATTATTAAAGCGAAACCCCCTTTAAGCCGATTATGCATGTTGATCATATACAAAGAAACATCTAACCTCATACTATCTGTGATAAGAAAAAGCAATTTATATAATCTGATTTATTCGAATCAACCAACGGGACGTTTATTGTTGAGAAGGGTTTTGAGGGGACGTTTATTCGAGGAAGCTTTAATTTCGAGCAAGAAGTTTTTTTTTTTTTTTTTTTTTGTGTGTAAAATGAGTATGTACGTATATACTTAAATAAATGCCCCTTAACTTCTCTATAAATGTTGAAGTACAACACATAATTACCATAAAATGTATTAGAAAAGATTGAATTCTACTGGATTAGAACATTAATAGTTGCTTCAATGAGATTTGTCAAAATTAGGGGGTGGGGGGCATTATTCGAGGAAAGAATTAACGCCTTGGGGCATGTATTCGAGAAAGACGTTTATTCCAAATTAATTGACAAAGATCAGAAGGCAGATGGTAGTGGAAAAATGGCAGCCAATGACCTGCTTAACGACAGAAAAACTAAAATAAACTAATAAGTACAGTAATCTTATATTATTATATAACATGTCATAGTCAGGTAGAGCAAAACATCACTAAGTACAGCAATAGAATACATTTCCTGTATTTGTTTTATTGCCACCGACAATAAGTGGACAGCGTTGCGTCGTCTAGCACTAACCGGAAGCAGAGTTGGACTTGACCTACGACCGTTGCATGACCGGACACAGTTAGTGTCTGGATTTGTTGAGGCCAGTTTTTAGTTGAGAAAAAGTCTTGCTGTCACAGGAATTGGACCCAGGACTCTGGTATTGGAAGGTGAGCACCTTAACCACTCAGCTCTTCAACTCCACTCATATTATCTTTAAGCTGCTTTGTATAGGGCTGACACAATGTTTTAAATAGTTAACTCTTATTATTATCAGCAAAATATATATTTATCACTTTCACATATATATATATATATATATAAAATACAGGTAAAACTTTAAGTTCAATAAGTTGTTTTTGGAAAAAAAATGCCAATGCAAAGATTTTTAACATAATAAATAAAACTAATTTTAACACTAATAAAAATAATAACAATACATACAGAAACAAAATTAATAATTATAATAATAATTTTGAGGTTCATAAAGATAAAAATATTTATTAAATTGTGCTTGATTACTTACTAATAATACATATTTAATATTTTCCTTCTATTGCATCTTTATAATTCTGAAATTCATGTACAACACAGACACATACATAATATTACACACCCTCCTACACACACACACACACACACACCCACACACACACCCAATACCAAAACACTTATAAATCAAATAGCATGGTATTGGAGACGTTGCACTTTAACTCGCATGAAGACAACTAGCAGAATAAGAATCACTCCAATCATTGACAACATTGCCGCAATTACAATATGCACCCCGGACATTCCATTTTTCCCGGAGTTTGATTCCGCAAGGTAATTTTCCGATCGTTCTGGATACAATGGCTCCCAGTCTGGCTCGCTGTTGAGATTTGTATACAAGTATGGAAAAATCTACAAAATAAATGCAAGGTTATATGTGTATGTAGTAGTGAATGAAATAGACAACTATACCCTTATTTACAGCAGTACAAATGGTCACATTGTACCCTCTCACAGACAGTATGCAGTGTGACAGACCCTAACCCCACCAAAATTGTCCCTCTCAGTTTTAACATATTCTCTGAAAAGTTAGCCAAGTTTGAGCCAACTAAAAACATTATAAAAGGCCATTTAACACTTGTCCACACTATCAAATGTTATGTAACAAGCAACTGTGATATGCCCATATTTGGGTGTAATATGACATCATGATGCACAAATATGGGCATATCACACGCATTTGTCACATACAATTTATTAGTGTAGACAGAGCTTAAAATACTTAGTGCACAAGGAAAATGTGTTTTGATGATTTGAACCCACGACATTGAGATTGGAATTTGGGTACCTTAACCATTGAAACACTTGCCTGTGACAGTCATATAAAACCTACCTCTGATGGACACTGATAATCTTCACCTACAACCCAGACATCTGACTTACTTCCTACTGGTTGTATCTAAACAATCACAGAATTGAGTAATAGAAAAACAGAGCTTCAATCTTCAAAACATACATTTTCAAATATTGGTTATCATGTTTAAAAATGATAGTATGAAACAAACTCCAAAAAAGTGATACAAGCCATATTTGATTTAATATTTCAATTATTTGTTCATCTTCATTCCAAAGCTTGTATCAGTTTGTTTCATACTATCTTATGTTAAACTTATCAGTGAACCCCAATGTTAAAAAAAAAAAATTAAAATCAATCATGTAGATTTATAAGGCACATTCAACAGTTGTCTAAATGCGCCAGATGAAATTAATATTTTTTAAAATGATTATGGAAATGATGCCAATAATGACAATAAAAAAACAACAATTATGATAAAATGGCAAAAGTAACAGTGATAATACAAATGATAACATTATGATACAATATCATTCTATATTATAATGTAAACTTTTAACTACTTGATTCTTTAAAGGTGTAACCCCATTTTTTCTACCTTTTCCCCCCAGTTTTTAAATACTGTATTATAAAACCTGTATACCGTTAACCGCTCCAGAGTAAAATCAGTTTTACAACATATCAACAATATTTTTCCTCTAGAGCCTAGATTTAAATAAAAACATTAAACATACCATATTATTCCATAAGCCAACAGAACCAGCAGCATGACTCTTTAAACTAAAATGAAAGCAGTCTGGAGCAAAATAGGTCAGGTCACCATTCCCATCCTATGAATGATGAAAAAAGGTGAGAAGAAAGGTATTAAAAATATATTAAAGAGCGCTACCATTTTGTTGGCTACACTACGAGGAAGGTCTTAAATTTTTTACCACCAGCCTCTTAAAAAAATGTTGATTACCCATATATATAGCCATGATGTGCCTATTATGGTCATAACATGTCATCATGACCATATTTAGGCATGTCACATGACTACCAAATAAAATTTGGTAGGCTGGATAGGGCTTTGTAGTGTTGTATGGTGAGTTAAGCTACAGTCAGTTAGTTCCCCATGCCTAAACAAAGGTTGACCCCTCTGTGTGTGCGCTGAACCATGGCAATCCTGTGTTTCTTAGTTCATTCATTAATGCTCGGCTTCTACGTTTCAGTTGTAAGACTGAAATTCAAGTAACTGTACTACACTGCACATCTATCAGAGCAGTCGGCTCCAGAAATTTGCTAATAGGGTCCAAAAGGTCTGACAGGGAGATCCGAACAGAGGGTGTCATCCGGTGTCTTGGTTAGAATCCCAGAATAAAATCCATGGTGGGGCTTACCTTTACGGTGATTATGCACAAAAAGATGACATTGATAATGATGATGATGATGATGATGATAATGATAATGATGAAATGATGTTATAGATGATGATGATGATAATGATTTTAATGATGATTATAATGATGGTACAGTATCTTACCTTATCAACAGGTACTTTAGACTGCTGTAGAAATGGCTGCAAGACAACTGTAAAATCTTCCTTGGTGTCATAGCGACCACTCAGAATAAGTTTCTCAATCATTTGTTGGTATTGGTGGGATAAATCTGACAGTTGTTCAATCCGCTCCCCATACACAGCACATGGACAGACCGCACTGGTTAGGCAACATACAAAAAAAAACCCATTCTTAATTGACAATGTTAACTTTATATCTATGAAATTGATCAGATATTTATATTTATGATTGTTTATAAAAATGTGCTAATTCACCTGGTTATTGGCATTTATGCTATTGTATAAAGACAGATAAAATACTATATAAATAAAAGTAATAAAAATAATAATAATAATAATAAGTAACAATAATAATAATAAGTAACAACAACAACAATAATAATAATAATAATAATAATAATAATAATAATAATAATAATATTAATAATAATAATAATAATACACATTTACATTGCATTGAAGGAGGGGATTGTGCAAGACACATTTCCATCTGTAACCAACCTTGTTTTGATAGAAAAATTTGCCAATTATATTACTAAAATAACAAATTCCCCAATGTACCTTCCCACCCCCCGCGGCCATCCTAACCCCTACCCCCTACTCTTTTTAAAATAATATTGAACAAGCCTAGTGTACTTACAGGTGCACAACACTGCAAATGACTCCTTTCAACTTAGCTAACTGGGTGATATCAATAATTCCAACCACATTAACAAGGGCACGAGGTACCTGTGCAATACAAACAATAACAGATCACAATTGAATATTTAAATTGGGAATGGCAACAAGACAAAAATGTTTTAAAGATTACATTTACTTATTGTTATATTGAAAAATATTCACTCTATTTAAAAAATAAACAATTACATATATTGTAAAAATATGTTTTTCCGTAACACATTTCAAAAGATACTAAAACTTAAAAATGCCCAAAAAATTCCCAGTTTCTTTAGGCTAGACCCTGCAAGGGTTCACCGTGGCAAACTCTGTTTTCTGAAGAGTATTAAAACATCATCAAGGATAGCCCCTGAAAGTCAGAGGCTTTGAGTGGTCCTTCTGGCAGTGGATTAGAAAGTACACTGGGAGGCAATCCCTTGCTCTTTTCTGCATTTTTCAACAAGCACATGGGCCACAATGCACCCAGGATCCGAGGGCTTAAACGTCTTTTCTGAAAGATGTTGCCTTAACTTGCATTTCAGCTCTACAACTGAAACGCAAGGAGAGCAACGACAAAAATTTGAGTAGGAACCAAAAGTATTTCCACGATTCAGTGTATACACAGTGTCAACCAGCAGTTTAGCCAACCGAGCTACGTGTGAAAGGATTGGATTCAAACACACAATCAAGACACAACAGGACACTTACATTACTGTGTAAAATATCTAAGGCATCTCGTATATTGGCTTCATACTTCTCAGCTGTGAAACGCTCTTCATTATCACACCACCCAGAGAGGTCATTTGCCCCAATGAATATTGTGATGATTTTCCAATCATTATAGAAGTCGGTGTTCGGATCTTCTCTCATTCTCTGAATAAGTTCTTCAGCCTGCAATGGCATATCTCTGCAACATTTAGATAAAAACAAATTACTGTAATAATCAAACTACTGATACTTTAGTTGCTTGGGAAGCCCAACTCGGGTATACGCCCAACCAACCTTACGCCATAGGCTTAGCCAGCGAACCGTCTGGCCGTCTTTTGGACGGCCTATATCCTTTTTCTGGCTAAACCCCAACTTTACGCCCAATTTTACGTATCACTCTTTCTTCAGGCAAAACCCGAGAGTATGATTTGAATGAGTAGTGTAGCTTACAGTAGCTGACTTTTACAAATACTCTTAATAAAAATCCAATACTGGCTTTGAGTTAGGCATGCAGTGATGGAAAATTGCCTTGTGATTGAAAAGGGCATTCTCAGGTTATTATGTTCAATGTGGGGCAGTGGCAGCTGTAGGATATATTTTCTGGGGAGTGGGCTAAGCTGTCCAACGGGGGGGGGGGGGGGGGCGCTGAGTGAGAAAAGGATAACTTTGGCACGCATGAGATTTTTTTTTCAAAATATAGACCTCCAGATGGCCAGAAATGATACCCTCACACCAGAAAATACCTTTAAATGTAAAGTTGATATTAATACAATTGTTTAATACTCTCAAAGTCAACTCAAAAAACATGCATTTAATTTCATTACGCCTATATTTTTTTTTTTGGTCCAACTGCTAGCAAGGTCTGGCCAGTGGGGTGGGAGTTTGATCAGTCCAATGGGGGGGGGGGCTTAAACCCCGGTGCCCCTAAATAGGGGTGGGCTTATCCCAGAGGAACTATTTTATGGTATATTACATTATTATATTAATCATAATTTTTATTCTCATCCTTTACAGTAGAGAGTACCCTGAACATCAGCCTCCCTTTCGGAAAAGTTGAAAGGGCTACCCTGTTTTAATATTGTTAAAATAAAATAAATAAAAAATACAAATAGAAAAATTAGCTCTTTCTGGATGGAAAGGCGGAACATGAGGCATTTATTGAAACTATTACTGCCTTTCAAAACGATATACAATAACTTTTTTTAGCTTTATTTATTAAAAAACAACTAAATACTTTCATAATTGATATTTTCTCAATTGCTAATAAAGGTACATTATTTTAAGCCAAAACACAAAATCCTCAAAAAAAAATTTCCTTGAAAAGTTTGAAAAATGCTTACTCAATAATTTTAAAAAGGACTCCTCTACTGTAAAAGCCTGGAAATGTATAGCACTGGGCACTTATTACACTTAATGTAGTATGCATGTTTAGGGAGAAAAAGTCATAAAAATTTCAACCCAGGAGAGTGGAATTTAAAGACAAGCACTTTCAAAACCATGAAGCTATAACGCTTCTCCAAAATATGAAAATAGAAAATTAAAAAAATGGATATGAAAATGGACTTACTCTGATATGGATGCTGGTACAGCCACATTGAATTTGGAATTTGCTCGATTTTCAGTGCCAGTTCCAGTTGAAAAACCATATATTAATGGGTTGTAGTATTTAAAAACAAATAAAGAAATAATGAATCAATTTTAATATAATAATAATAATAATAATAATAATAATAATAATAATAATAACAATAA